GCCCACGGACCCGCCCCCACTCACCGCCCCACCCCACCCTCGTACAGGCGCGACCTCTGGCGCGCTGGGCGCGCGGCTGGACCCGCTGCTGGGCCTGGTCAGGGACGCCGCGGCCACGCCGCGCCTGCAGTACCAGCTGTTCAGGGCGCTGGCGGAGGTACTGCACTCAGAGGCCGCCGAGGAGCTGACCCCCGCCCAGCGCCAGTCCGTCCTGGACCTGATCCTGGCGGCGGTCGCGGAGGAGAGGGAGGAGAGCAACGCGGTGCTGGCAGGTGGGGGAGGGGGTGAAGCAGGGTTGGGACGGTGCGTGCTCAGGGAGTGCTACGGGGGCGAGATGTGGCTGGGCAGTCGCTGCGCAGACTTCACACAGGGCACCTGTTGGCACGAGTGGGGAGTTGGGGTGTCAAGCCAGCAAATGAGATGCTCCTGTGCCTTATTCATAGCGCGCGTGCCATCCCTGCCTTCACTGTCCGCATCGTTGCTGACTCCTGCCGCCCCCCCCCCCCCCCCCCCCCCCCCTTTCCCCCTTCACACCACCGCAGAGTGCCTGGGGACACTGGCGGCCCTGGGCGCCGGCGCCTGCACCGCCATCCTGACGCAGCCCCTGCAGAGCTCTTCCCCGGGGCTGAGGGCGCTGGCCCTGGCGGCCGCGCGCCACGCCACGGTGCACCTGGGCGCTCGAGCCGCGCCCAGCATGGACGCCGTGGCGGGGCCCATGCTGGCCTGCCTGAACGACCCCGACTTGTGAGTTGCGAGAGAGGGAAAGGAAAGGGGGGGGGGGGTTTAGAGGATATGGGGAGCGGCGAGGGCGGAGGACGGGGGACAATGGTGGCCGGCAATGGTGTGGGCCGTGGGTTGAATACTTCACAGCAGATACACTTTGCCCAGTACCCCTCATACGCGTCACTCTCCCCCTCGACACAGGTCCGTGCGGCACACCGCCGTGCTCCTGCTTTCCTCCTCAGCACACGCCTGTCCCGCGCTGGTGCGGCCGCACGTAGCCGGTGCCCAGCCTTTCCTCCTCCGGCTGTGCCAGCCGGACGCTAGCCTGATCAGGCAAGCTGCATGTGGCTGGGAGGGGAAATGAGCTCAGTGCCCGGGTCTAACTAGACGGCAGATGATAAGGGGCTGTAAGTTGAACGAGGTGGTTGCCTCGAAGGTGGCACGGCCCCGGCGCTGCGCCAGTTGCCGCCCTGCCACCCGTCGGGAGCTTGCGCGGCTCGCCGCGGCCGCCCGCATCTCCCACAATCACAGACCCCGAACGTGGAGAACCGACGACGGATGCGTCCACCTCTGCAGGGTTGTGAATCTGGGCCCCTTCAAGCACACCATCGACGACGGGCTGGAGGTGCGCAAGGCCGCCTTTGAGGCCCTTGTGGTCCTCCTGGACGCATGCCCCGCAGTGCTGGACATGCCGGCGGTGCACGACGCGCTGCTTTCCGGCCTCAAGGTGCATGGGCGCGTGGTGTGATTCGAGTGTGCGTTGGTGGGGATCAAGCATGGAGCGCTCCTGTGACACCGTGCTGCGTCGCGAAATGGGGTTGAGCGAGACTTGAGCCCTCTGCGCGTCACCGACTCCACTCGAGCCATGTCACACAACTGCTCCAATTCTCTCTTTCTCCCCGCCCCGTCGCCTCAGGACCAGTACGACGTCAAGGTCACGAGCCACATCCTGCTGACGTGCCTGGCGGCGCTGGAGCCGGATCAGGTGCGAGCGCGCTGTTGGAGGGGTGCTTGTAGGAGGGTGCAGGCGGCCGGGGCCCTATCTGCCGTGTTGTGGTTTTGACAGAATCGCTCCAGAGTACTGGTCCCATGCCGAGCTGTACATGAACTTCGACCCAATCCGGGTCGCTCTCCTCCATCAAGTCACCGAGTCCTGTCCCTCCCCAAGCAGACCACGGCCCGGCTGGAGGCGCTGGTGGAGCCGTTGACCGCCACGCTGACGGCCAAGGTCAAGGCGGACGCAGGTGGGCGAAGCGTTGAGACGCAGAGGGTGTTGGCCTCACATTTCAGTGTTTTCTTGCTGCAGGCCATTAGTCTTCACCATCTAGTCCCCCAGCTCCCTCCCCTCTCTATGCGCCCGCCATGCCGCAGTGAAGCAAGAGGTGGACAGGAACGACGACCTGCTGCGCAGCTGCCTCCGAGCAGTGGCGGCCCTGGAGCGGCTGCCAGGGTGCGCAACTGTGGCGCCCTGGACCGCCTTCATCAGCGGGGTGGTGCAGACCCCCGCCCTCAAGGTGCCTTGGTTCGCTGGAAAGTGTGCAGGGTTGGGGAGGTAAATGCTGGCATGACAGGGTGGCGTCGTATCCATGTGTCACCCGAGGGCACCATGTGTGTGTGCACAAAATCTGCACGAGCACCTCACCTCAATCTAAATCCCACATGTCGATTCAGAACCTCAAAGCTCGTCCCGGCACTTCCCGGACGACTACCTGCAGGAAAAGTACGCTGCGGCGAGAGGGGAGCGGGAATGAAACCCTGGCTGTCGGCTGGATCTTGCGCTGCGCGCGCCACCCAGAGGGTTTCCGGAACTCGGCACCTGATTCAGAAGCTAGCCCCCGGAGCCGAGCTTGCACCCGCTCATTACCTTGGCCTCTTGGCTGCCACCAATTTAAACTCTGCACAGCATGGTCATGCCTTTCCCACACATGCTCGACGCCAAGCATCACAGCCCCTGATCGGTCCCGGAATTCGAGGGTGAAGAGCGCTCAACCAACGGCCGCCCCTCCGGCCCCATTGGGGCCATGCGGCCCGCTGCTGGCCCCTGTCGACCTTTAATGCGCCATAGAGTGCTTCTGCGCCTCGCAGCATGCTTGCTGCTGGCCACTTCCTGCCGAGCGCAGGTGCTCACCACGCTGGACGGCCAGGCCTGCGACCTGCCGAACGTGTACAATGGTCAAGTGATCCGGCGGTGCATCGACCTAGGGGACGGTCTCTACTGCCCCGTGGAATCGGGCCAGTACAAGCTGTGCGCGGACCAGGGATCCTCCATCTCGTCGGCCCCTCCCCCACCCCCCCCACCAACCCTCCCCCCCGCCGCCCCTGGTCGGGGTGGACGGCCAGCCCTGCGTCACCCCCCTCATCCTGAATGGGGAGCCCCAATACGGCTGCCTGTCGGTGGGGGTGTCCCTGCAGTGCTGGACGCAGGCCAGGAGGTGGACGGCGTGCAACCCCGCCACCCAGGCCCGGTCGGGCGCAGGCGACATCGGCCAGGGCAACATCCCGGTGGTGCCCACTCGCATCCGCAAGCTGCGCGACGGCACAGTGTGCCCGCTGCCGTTCGTGGACGTCGACCGCAATGTCCTGACGGACTGCGTGGCCGCGGGGGGCGACGAGGTCTGCCCCAGCCTGCCAGGGCGGCGGGCCTGCGCGCCGCAGACGACGGCCAGGGACAAGGCGATGCTGGCCCCGCTCATGTTCGCCCCCAGGACGACCGAGGACGGCGCACCCTGCGCCCTCCCTTTCGTGCAGGGGTGAGGGGCTCGGAGTTTGTGTTGATGGGCGGAGGGGGAACTGGGAGGAAGGGGAGCAAGATCCCCTGGAGAACGTGCTCCCCTGGGTGCAACCGATGCAGAGCAGCAGCGCTCTGATTCCCAGCCCAGAGCTGGCGCGGGCCGCAGCCCAGGCAGGCTCCCAATTGCATGCCTCCCATCTCACCTTCCGGATGCCCTCCCTCCCGAAACCCACGTTCCCAGGGGCTCCATCTATATGGACTGCCTGACGAGCAGCGTGGACGGCGGGCGGGGCAACTCGTCGGCGCACGGCTTCTGCCCCACGGAGGCGGCACTTGGGGCTGGGACCCTGACCAACAGCTCCATCGCGCTCAGCCCCTGCAGCCCGGCGCTGGCATCGACCCCCCTCCTCGACTTTGACGCTGGCGACGCGTTCCTGAACAGGACACAGCCGGGGGGGCTGACCATGATGTGCGTGCTGGACCCCAGACTGGACGAGGAGGGGTGGCCCTGCCAGGAGGGGCTGACCTGCCTGCCGCTGGAGGGGAGCACGGTAAGGGGGGGAAGGGAGGAATGTAAGTGGAAGTACATCTGAAACATGTTCGCGGGGTGGGTGTGTTGAGTGGTACGGGTTCTCGTGCCTGGAATGTCCACTGGAACCCATGCCTGCTGCTTTGATCGTCAGAGTCCAGGTAGATTTGGTGCCAGGTAAGCGTCTCAATACGGGTGAGAAGACTGTTGGAGAAATCCTCCCAACACATAAATCCCATGTACCTCAGGGTTACGCCGAGTTCAACAACCTGGGATTCTGTTCGGAGACACCCCTGGGGGGCGTGTTCAACTCTTTTGAGGTGCTGCAGTCTGCAGGCAAGATATGAGACAGGGGACTGGGAAAGGAGGTGTGGTTGAGTTGTCTCGTCATCTCAGGGAAGGGTGGTTTCTGCGAGATCTTTCCCTGGGCCAGCATAACGAAATGTGGCTGGTTGACGGTTGAGAACTGGTGGCAGATTGACCCCTTGCATCTTGCTGGGGAAGATTGCAGTTCCCTGAGCTGTATGCTGGTCTGCAGTGAGATGTAGACCACCCCTGCAAGTGTACAGTTGTGGCGCATGTGCATGCCTGTGGGAAGACAGCATTCGATTCCGAGATCAGGAATAGGCTGATACCCGATCACGCCGCCCCGCTGCAGGCGCCCCCCAGCCCCTGGCCTTCTACCCGCTGACGAGTGCCCAGGGCCTGAACTCCCTCCTGCTCCCACCCTACACGGGAACAGCTAGGAACATTGAGTTTGACTTGGATTTTGACTTCAACCAGACGGTCAAGTGTGAAAAGGTGGGCGTGGTGTAGGTGGTGGGGAAGTCGGGTGTGCTGGCTGTAGGCCCTCTGATGCTGATGCACATGCGTCCCATGCCCCTGTCAGATGCTCTGACACCGCCACACCAGGCTCGTGCCGGCACAGTCTACCATGTAGCAACTCCCAGTCTTGCCGGCTGATCGGCATGCCTGCCCAGTGAATCATCACCCTTCCCCACCCGTAAATCTCACAGGAGCTTGGGAGCAGGATCAAGTTGGAGCCTGTGCCCTACGCCACCACCGGCTTCTTTGCGGTGAACCTGTGGTTTGCGGTGGAGCCCTCCATCCCACTCATGGGCCTCAAGTGGCTCTTCAGCCACACAGACTCAGACATGGTGGCCATTGGCCTCCCCAACCAGGTGCAAGGCTGTGCCAAGGAGGAGAGAGGGGAAGGTCGAAAGGATGTGGTCCCAGCCCAGGCCGCGCCGCGGTTGCTGCTGCACTCGAGAGGCATGGATTGGTCGTGCGCAGCACCAGCTGGACCATCCACCACCACCCAGGAGTACACAGCCTTGCTCTGTCATCGTAGCCAGGCCGCTCATCGCGCACCCATGCAGGTCCTCATCTTCCTGGCCCGCAGCAGCAAGACCGATGGGCCACTGCTGGTGGGACTCATCTCTGACGGCAAGGATGCGGTGGAGAACCCCGACGAGTTTGTGTCGGTCCAGACCGATGGCACGACCTTTGCTGGGCCCGACAACGGCACCGCCATCTTCACGACAGACTTCCTAGGTGCGTGTGGTGGGGTGGAACAGTAGGCAGAAAGAGGTGGCGACATGGGCCCGGGATGCGTGTGCAAGGGTGCACCGCGGGAGGAAGCAAGGGGCAGTGGACGATGAGGAGTTCAGGTGCCTTTGGTTGCACATCAATGGAGCGCTGATGTCCCGCAGAATGACCGTGGGTGACTTGTCCTTCAAGGGCGTGCCTCACGCTCTCACAAGTCTAGGCAGGGGTGCGTCGTGGCTGTTCTTGATGTGCGATGCCAATCTTCTACACCACCCCTTCCCGCGTGCAAAGACGGGGGCTGGCACATGGTGACCCTGACCACAGAGGCCGGCACGGGGGAGAGGGGGTACAGCCTCTACCTGGATGGGGCCTTTGCTGGGAGCGCAGCCTGGGCCAGCCCCAACACGCCACCCAATCAGGTGCGCGTTTGGGGGAGTGATATGGTCCTGCTACACTGCCCATCACTGGTGACGTAGCCTCCAAGGTGCCTTTGCCATGTGCCCCAAGGCTATCAGTGCGAGAGGTTGACTAGACCCACCCACTCCAATCCCTCTGGCCAGCTGCCTGGCGGCGACCCCACCCGGCTCTCCAAGCCCATCCAGCTCTGCTCCAGCATCGACAACGACACTGCCAACGTCTTCAACGGCTTCCTTGCGCACCTGTCCCTCTTCCCAGAGGTACGAGGGGTGGTGGCATCAGTGTGTCATGCTTACGCTGGCAATGCGTGGCCTGGGTACCCTGAAGACCACGGCCACAGTCTCTGGCTTTCATCTGAGTCTCCGAGCAGCGCATTGCTCCCCTGAGACGGCTCCTTACCGCTCTCCCCACGCAGGCTCTCACCCCGGATGCTGTGGCGGCCCTGTACGAGAGCTACGTCGAGAATAGCACACAAAACTGACGTCCTGCATTGGGTTGCCCCTTTCTCTAGACACAGCATTACCCTCATCTTTCCCTAGTTCTAGGTTTCTGCACTTGCCCGCTCCGGTGAAAGGTGTGGCGGGCTTTCAAGGACTTCTTTCATTTATTGAATGGCTTGATCACAGGTGGAGAGGTATGTTTAATATGGTGATGGATGAACCTCGTCAACACCCTGGGGCAGAGCATCCTGTCTGTGTCAGCCCAGTGTTCTTAAGGAACCAATCTGGGAACAGTGGAAGACCTGCTTTGATAGGATGATCGATACGCTGGCTTGTATATTCAGCGGGCCACAGTTCTGACGCTGGAGAGGAGAAGCATCGTGCGTGGGGAGGGCCCCCATGCTGCTGCTACGCGTGAAATGGCCGAGCTTCCGGTCGGTCCGTCTCGGCACCCGGTGCTAGGGTAATGGATGGGCGCAAAGAGCCTGTGTCGCGTTTCAAAGAGCACACCGGACGATATTCCAAAAGTCGAGGGTTTATTCACCTACTCAGCAGCCTGTGAGAGAGCTCGGGCATTGAAGCACCTGCGTATCGGAAAGCGCTCACCACCTCAGGCTCCAACCCTAGTGCCAGCCCGAGCCCAAGGATGTCCGTCGCGATCCCCAAGCGCCAGCTCTTCATTGGCGGTCGATGGGTCGAGCCCGTCAAGGGTGGTCGTCTGCCCGTCATCAACCCCTCCACCGAGGAGGAGATTGGCACCATCCCCGCTGCCACCCCGGCGGATGTCGATGCCGCCGTCTCGGCTGCCCAGGCCTGCGTGGACAGCGGCGATTGGACCCGGTCCACGGGCGCATACCGCGCCAAGATCCTGCATGCCATCGCCGACAAGGTGTGTGATTGCGGATGGGGTTTGGGGGACAGGAGGGTGGTGGTTATGTGCCCAGGGCTTTGTGCCTGCATGTCTGAAACCTGGCCCCCCCAAATGTACACCCATCAAGCACCCTGCGAGGCAAAACTTGAAGATTAAACACTCGGCCGGCAGGTACGCGAGCAGAAGACCTTCCTGGCCACCCTGGAGAGCCTTGACAATGGCAAACCCTTGGCCGAGGCGGAGTGGGATGTGGTACGCTGGGTGGTGTGCATTGGTGTGCCAGGGGGTTGTATGGACGCTTTCCAGTGACCTGTGTCTGTCTGCACTGGTGTGCTGGGGCAAAGATTAAGAGGATGGCTGCCAGGGTAGCCTGAGACCATACCGGGTGCCCGCATGCCTGGCAGAGTAGGGCAAAGTGCGGGGCTGTGAGCCTTCAACAAAAACGTATACCTCCGAGCTCAGAGCAATACACAATCACCCATTCTCTCCTCCACCCCCTCCTCCACCTCCCTTGTGGCAGGACGACGTGGCCACCTGCTTCGACTACTACGCCGACCTGGCGGCGGCCCTGGACGCGCGGCAGTACGAGCCTGTGGACCTTGGCGCCGAGGGGTTTGAGTGTGCGCTGCGCCGCGACCCGCTGGGCGTGGTGGCCCTCATCACGCCCTGGAACTACCCGCTGCTGATGAGCACGTGGAAGGTGGCCCCCGCGCTGGCGGCTGGCAATGCGGCGGTGCTGAAACCCAGCGAGGCCGCCTCGCTGACCAGCCTGGAGCTGGCGGGCATCGCCGGGGGCGCCGGCCTGCCCCCCGGCGCGCTCAACGTGGTCACGGGCCTGGGCCCTGACGCCGGCGCGCCGCTGTCCGCCGACCCGCGCGTCGCCAAGGTGGCCTTCACCGGGTCCACGGGCACGGGGCGCGCGGTGTACCTGGCAGCCGCACGGAACCTGCGCCCGGCGGTCATGGAGCTGGGTGGCAAGTCGGCGCTCATCGTCTTCGACGACGCCGACGTGGCGCGTGCGGTGGAGTGGGCCATGTTTGGCGTGTTCTGGACCAACGGACAGATCTGCAGCTCCACCTCGCGCCTGCTGGTGCAGCGCGGCATCGCGCCGGCCTTCTACAAGCAGCTGAAGAGGAGGACGGAGAGCATCATGGCGAGGAGGGAGGGGTGGGGTGGGGTAGGGTGGGGGGGTAGTTGATCAGGTGCATAGAAGCGTGTTGTATCCTGTGGGATCGCGGCCATCACTTGCGTCCTGCATGCTGGGGACCCCTCTCAGCCGACCAACGAGACACACATGGATCCCATCCTCTACGCATGCAGATCAGCGACCCCCTGGTCCCCGGGTGCCGCCTGGGGCCGTTGGTGAACGAGCTGCAGTACAAGAAGGTGGTGGGGTACGTGGAGGCGGGCAAGGCGGACGGCGCCACGCTGCTCACAGGCGGGAGGCGCCCCCCTCACATGCCCAAGGGCTACTACCTCGAGCCCACAGGTGAGGGGCTGTGTGGCGATGGGCCGGGGTGGGCCGACGGCTGGCAGTTGCAGGCTGTGTGCTCTGGGGGAGCTGCAAGCTCCCCGGGCTCCCCCTTTGCAGGTTTGGGTGTGCTCCCGTCCGAGCGGCACACTGTGACCCCGCGCTGCAGCACCACGCATGCATCCCGACCCTTCTCCCAGCACACACGCGCTCCGCTGTTGCCTCTGCAGTGTTCATCGACTGCAAGCCGGAGCACCGCATCTGGCGGGAGGAGATCTTCGGCCCCGTCCTGGCCAGTGCCACCTTTGAGACGGAGGCCGAGGCCATCGCTCTGGCCAACGGCTCCGAGTTTGGCCTGGCCGCCGGCGTCATCTCCAGCGACCTGGAGCGATGCAGGTGTGCGTGGTGTTGAGGGGGCTCTTACAGCGCTGTCCTGGTGAAGACGCTGGAGCAGCACCTGCGAGCCCCTGGTTTGAGTCTCTGCTGGAGGCATCAGCATGAACCTGGGGTAAACCTGCCCCGAGGCGGTCCTGGGGCGCCAGGGCCTGCCCTTTACATGTGCCCCGTTGTCCCCTCTGCCGCACTGCAGGCGGGTGCAGGAGGCGCTGCAGGTCGGCATCTGCTGGATCAACTGCAGCCAGCCCTGCTTCTGCCAGGCGCCCTGGGGCGGGGTCAAGAACTCCGGCTTCGGCCGCGAGCTGGGGCCCTTTGGCTTCGAGGGCTTCATGTCCGTGAAGCAGGTGACCACCTACACCAGCTCGGACAAGTGGGACTGGTACCCGGAGACCGGCCCCTCCCCCAGGTTGTAATGTGAGCCACACTGCCTCTTGGGTCTTGGTGGGACTGACCGAGGGCATGCTTACTGGGAGGGTGGTGTGGCAGAGAGTGGTGGGTGGGTGAAGGGGAGCAGCGCAGGACACAGCGCTCATGCACCACGCGTCAGAGGGAGCCTCGGGGGGCACTGGATTGGCCCGACATCCCATCCCCACCCGCCCATCGGATTGCACGGCTAGACTAGGAAGGTCGAGACAGTGTTGTGCGGGTGCAACATGCATTGCAAACGCCAGTCTGACCTGCACACTCAGTTTCTCACATCACCCCCTCCAATTTTAGTCGAGGCTAGGCTGGCGAGCTGGGACCAAGGAGGCTGCATTCTCGGCGCGGCTGGTGCACATGCGCACGCGGCCTCGCATACCCGACGATCTCACTGTGTCTCAGCCTGGAACTGCCCACCTCTCCATGTCACTGCTCATCTGCCTGTGTCCCGCTTGTGACTACATCCTTTGGGGCAGGCAAAACCATGAGGGGGAATTGGGATCAAGCTATGATTTAGTCGGCAAGCACGGCATGCATCAAACAGCCTCGGGCTTGACGTCCCCCTTGAGGAGCTCGACCAGCTCGGCCTGCTCGTTGAGTTCGGCCACCTCGCCCGCGGTCTTGCCCTCCGAGTTCTTGATGGACACATCGGCCTTCCTGCAGTTTGCCATACAGGAGAGGAGGGAGAAGGGTTTGCGCTGGGCTTGCAGGTACACAGCAGCAGGTACCTGAAGGTTATGGAGCATGTCACATACATCTGCCATTTGTGCTTGGGAGCAGATGCTCAATCCATTTTCAAACCAGCCTCGGTGAGAAACGGCACACACGGGCATGGTCGTCAATTTTACTGCACTCCCTGCCCCTGACCTCACCCCAGCCAGTCCCTGTCGCACCTCTTGATGAGCAACGTGGCCGTCTCGACGTTGCCGTACCCGGCGGCATAGTGCAAGGCGGTGTTATTGTTGGCATCAACCGCGTCGATGTCAGCGCCGGCGTCCAGGAGGACCTGGGTGGGGGGCGGAGTGCTTGGTTTGAGAAAGTGTGGAAAGAGGATCTGCTATTGCTATGAGAGGCTGCAGACGGCAGGGTCATGTGCATCCTCAGTTGTTTCTTCTCCACAATCAAGGCTTTTCCGAAACCCATCTCACCCAGAACACACACACACACACACAATGAGTCTCACCTCCATGCACTCAAGCTCCCCATACCCCGCCGCAAAGTGGAGGGGTGTCCTGCCCTCCTCGTCCTTCTCGTCGGGCTTCACGCCCTCCTGCTTAAGCAACTCCGCCAGCCCAGCAGCATCGCCTGGTGACGGCAGGAGGAGACGCAGGGTGAGGGGTGGGGGTAATAGAAGGGTGCAGCATGCACCATATGATTCTAACTACCCAACAACCCAGGCATTCAGCCTTTCCTTTTGCACCCACGCATTCACGCACATGGGGCCCCTTCCCCACATTCCTCAACACATGCACACAATCAAAAGCTTACCTGCGCTGGCCAGGGAGATGACGGTGGCCTCCTCTTCCTCCTCCTCCTCCTCGCCGGCCCCACCAGCCCCAGCGCCGCCAGACACGGCCGGCGTGCCGTTGGCGTCGGTCGCGGCACGGGACCCCAGCCGGGCCTGCATCTCGGGGTCGGCCATGGCCTCCTGGAACTTGCGCCCCAGCTTGGACATGATGTCGGTGTCGCCCATGTACTTGAGCATGGCCTCCTGCCCGTTGGCCTCGATGTCCTCCAGGATGGGCCTGAGCTCGGGGTCGGACTTGAGGTCCTCCAGCTTGCCCTTCAGCAGCTCGCTGTGCTCGGGGTTGGAGAACAGCTCCATCAGGCTGGCCATCTGGGGGTCTGCCGCCTGGGTATATTGAGGAGGGGATATGGGGTGTGTTGTGGATGGTGGTTGCTAGGGGGAGATCAAGGGGGCCCAGCATGGGTCAGGCATAGGCACGCGGTTCCCCCTATCCCCCCACCCACCCACTGCCTCGGGCATACCTGGGTGAGCAGCGACTTGCCCAGGCTCTCAGCAGCCTCCAGGAACTGCGGGTTGCCCATCACCCTCTGCATGGCGCTCATGTACTTGGCAGGGTCAACGTTGGGCATGCCCGGCGGCATGCCACCCGCACCCGATCCGCCGGCCTGCACTTGCGAGGGGGATTGGGGGTTGAGAATGAGAATGGAAACTTCTCCCCCTGATCAATGCAGGCAGGAAAACAACAGCAGCAGCGGCAACAGTAGTAACTTTGCGGTCGCCTGCTGCTCTCCTGTGACCAGGCCTTCAGCACAGCTCTAAGACACATCATCCTGAAGCCTTTCACCGCTCACCTCGCCGCCCAGATTCAGGCCATTCATGTTGCCGGAGAGCATGCTCTCCTGCATCTCCTTGGCAATCTCCATGAACTCCGGGTCGGACGCGATGGCCTCGGTCATGCGCTGGATGGTGGGGTCCTGGGAAGTGGAGGGAGTGCGGTGGAGGGCATCGAGGGTCGGATCTCCCAGTGTCAAGGGGCACAAGAACATACTGGCAGCACGAGCGACCTCACAAGCCTTGCACCCCATCCATGCTTCACGGCAGCACGCAAACACATCGGCATCCCCACCGATCACGGCAGCACATCAGGCGTTGTCACCTGCATCAACTGCTGCAGAAAGTTGGGATCTGCGGGTGTTGGAGAAGGATGGAGGATTGCTTGTGCAATGCGGCCACATGCAGATGCAGGAGATGACGCCGTGATGCCTGCATTCAGCGCATGTGGACATCGTCGACTCACCCATTCCAGGGAAACCGCCCGGCATTCCTCCTGGAATACCAGGGAAACCGCCGGGCATTCCTGGGAACCCGGGGGGGAGACCTCCCGCACCAGAGCTGCCCTGACCGGACATGCTACCGTATCGATGGGAATTCCCGCGAAGTCGGCGAACTCAGGAGAGTAGTACAGATTAATCTAATGGATTCGAGTATGTAAAACGGGGCCTTGCGAGGGACGACGGGCCTCGAGCAGAGGATATACCCGGAAGCCTGGATCGCGCCTGCGCGGGAACTTCCGTCCGACGAAGTCCATGCTGCATGGCGCAGGGATCCTCTGCTTCTGCTTCAAATTTCCCTAGCTGAATCCCTAGAATCTGCCTGCCATGGATATACGCGCCCTACATCTAGATTGCACAGCATACAGACATAAATTCACACCAGGTATCTACACCCTGCCAGACACACCCTTCTGGTATTGCTTGTACCGCTTGGGCAGGATGCGCTCCAGGGCCGAGGCCGCCACCTGGCGCTGCAGAGCTGTCTGGAGTAGCAGGGCCTCCCTCAGCAGGTCCTCGGCCTGTGGGTGGCATGCTTCCGCTGTCATGCAAGAAACTCCGGAAGGTTTCCTCCAGATCCCTGGTCACACCAGGTCAGCATTAGGGTACCCTTCATGACCAGCCGGAGTGAAGTGAGGCAGCTCAAAACCCTCGGCTCACCCCCCTCTCCCTGATTTATATTGTGAGCAAACTGCCTCACCCTATCCGCCCACCTTCTTTCTGTTCTCGGTCATGGGAGGGGTGAGAACCTGGACCGCCTCACGCACGCTGCCCTCTGACTGCCAGATGGTGGCCCCCAGATCTGCAAACCCCCCATCCAGGGTCAAGCCCACGCTGCCCTGGCGCAGGTCCAGGAGCTCCACCAGCTGGCTTGCCTCCTGCTGAGCCTCGGCGACGTCCTGAGCGGTGGAGGGGTGGGATGGCCCTTAGCCCCAAGCTGCAATGTGTGGTGACCTTGACTTTTTCGCCATCTTGGTCACCGCCAGCAGCCGTTTGACCATGGTGCCTAGTCTCTTACATCAATCAATGCATGACCCCCCCTCTCACCTGCTCATTCCCGCCTTCCAGAGCTCGGCATGCCCGCCCGAAGAGGCCCAGGAAGACCAGCTCCAGCTGCTGCAGGCCGGGGTCGGAGGCAATGGTCTCCAGGACAAACGCTCGTACTTTCTGGAGGACAGAGAATTTGAGAGGAAGGGCGATTTGGTGTGGGACGATGGAGTGATGGCTGTACGTGTGAGAACGCATTACATCCCCATATAGCGGCTGCAAGGTGCGTGATGCGAGTGCATGTCATGAGGCAGGGCATGATCAGGATCAGAACCACATGGCATCCCACATGCTGCACCAATGAGATCCAAGGACGCTGGCATATAACTAAAGCCCCACTCCTCCCCGGCACCCAGTCACCTGGCTGTCATCGGGCCTAGACCCCAGGACAAACTCCAGGAGGAGGCAGTCGTACTCGTGAACGGCGCTCCGTCCATCCACATGGGCTGCCACTTGCAGCATCTTGATCGCCTTCATGAAGCGCCTGTCAGACACATAGATGGGCGGCTCGCACTTATCCTGTGTATGGAAGGTTTGAGGGGGAGATTGAGAAGGAGTGCGCAAGCGCCGCCAGCAAAGGAGGTGGTTGCTGTGCCAGCGTATGGACCCCCTAGATACCCAGATGCCGGCCATCGAGCAATACGCTGCCACCTGGTGCTGACCTGGAGGTAGTCACGAGTGGTGGTCAGCAGATCGATGACCGAATCCGGCACTTCCACCGCGCTATACGCGGTGCTGGCGGTGCCATGGAAGTCTGCCAGCTCCAGGCGGCCGCCTCCCGCCTCGGCGCCGTCAGCCGATGTCTGGGTCGTGGCACGCAGGGAGCCAGCCGCCAGCCTCGCCAGGTTCCCCAGCTGCGTCGGGGAGAGGTGAGAGGGGTGGTGTGATGACCCGCACAGGTGTCGTGTGTGTGGACTTGTGATCTTGGCAGCCGTTTGGATACCACTGTAGGAAGAATGACTGAATATCTTCTCAAGGGATGCGTCACCTGGGCGCTGGAAACCTGGGCGACCTGCCTCCGCAGCAGGAAGCGGTCGTACAGCGCATCCAGTTCCTCACTCTCTGGCAGCTCGTTGGAGGCGCCGACCTGAAGCATGACGATGTGGATAAAAATCCAGGGCAATCTTGGAAATGAGGAACCATCTTTGGGGCCAAATCCTGTCCGAGGAGAGGGTCGGTCACGAGAGGCGCCCGCATGCCCCAGATGACGTGGCCTTTGCACGCATCCCCCTCTCATTCCTTCTTTACTTCCTCACCAGGCACAGCAGGGGGACTTCCAACCTTGCGCTGCCGTTGCTGAACAGGCGCTCGTTAAGGATGGTGAGCAGGGCGTTCAGGATGGCGGAGTTTGCCTTGAACACCTCGTCAATGAAGGCCACCTCCGCCGTCGGGAGGTACCCCGAGGTCTGGCGCTCATACAGATCATTCTCCAGGCCTGCACATGTGTGTGGAGAGGAGTGTGTATGGCAAGCCCACAGGGTCAGGGAAGAGAGGTTGTGATCACTGCCCACAAGAAGCAGGGGCATGGTGTGCTTGACATGAGTCGCAGTCAAACTTCACCCATCACTGGAACGTGGGCAGGAGGGAATCGTTGCTCTACCTCCCATCCACCCCTTTCATCACACCTACTGAAAAAAAATGCAATCAACAGCTCACTCACCCTTCATGCTCAGAGGGCCAAACAACTCCTCGGGCACCGAAAATCTCGTCAGCAGGCGCTCAAAGTAGCGCCCGCCCGTCAGCTCTGCCAGCCGCCTGCTCAGCTCCGACTTTGCCGTGCCGGGGGGGCCCAGGAGCAGGAGGTGCTCGCCACACAGAGCCGCCAGCAGTAGGAGGCGGACCTGGGAGTTGGGGCAAGGGATATGTGATGTGAAACAGATAGGTTGGTGGGATCAGCACTGATACATGGAAAGGACAACATAGCGTACATCTGCATGGCCAGGGCTGCCGACAAAATAAACGCATGCTTTGTAACACTCCACCCACCCTGTCCCACCTCGGTCTCCCTTTCCAGCAGTCCAGACTGGAGGCTGAGGATGGCGGTCTGTGCCTTCCCTCTCAATGAGCTGTCCAGCCCCTCAATATCGGGGGTGGCACCCTTGGCGTCCCTCAGCAGACCAGCATGCCTGGAGTCTACATCCTTACTGATGTCCGAAATGAGCTGGATGAGGTCGGTGTCGGCCGTCTCCAGGGTCTGGGAGGACTTCACTGCGGCGAGCTTCCACCTGCAGGCTTTGCTTGCAGTCTGGGAAGGCGTGTTGGCGACCCAAACACTGCGCCTGACAGAGCCAGGGAGTCTCGGTGATGGAATGGGGAGCGCCCCGAATGGGGTGCCCATGGAGCCGCATCGCGGGGGACCGACAGTGGCCTGCCCCTGCATCATCATGTGCATGGCAGGGGAAATCTTTGCGATTCGGCCGCCGAGAGCCGATCACAGTTTGGAATTGAGGTATTTAACGCTGTAAGGATCTGCAATATAGCGGAATAAAGCTGTACCCTTGTTGCATGTCGCTTCGACACACCCCAAAGCGCGCAAAACCTTTCTTATCTTTTTGCGGGGAGGGGGCCCACGTGGGTTGATCTTGCACACGTATCGGGAGGGGTTGTCTGGCAGAACCATTCTTCTCGGCGGAGGATCATCGCACTTTGACATTTTGGCAACAGACAAGCACCCTGAATCCTTGACTTCAATGTGAGCGAGAATACCAGATGATCTACCAACCTAATTAATCAAGGATACCGACAATACGCAACGTCAAGACCTATACAGTCACAGAGCCCTGGCAAATTCTTACTAGCTCAGGACACTCCTGCTATGATTGTATAGTTTAGAATGTTCTAGCTCAGACAGGGGTAAAGCTGTCCTGGACAGCATGGATTACACCTTACATCACCATGCCTTGCTTGCGAGTCTCCTGTTGAGGTAGACTTGGACCCCAATGCCGCACCAGACTCACATACCCTCTCGGTTTCCTTGTTTAGAGGGAAGTCCTTTAATATCTACAAGAGTACCAGCACGGAGGAAAATTTCGATCGATTACCCCCTCCTGTCCTTGCCAAACCCCAGCGCGCGCTCGATCTCGACACCGGAACGCGACAACGGTGAGGCAGCTCGAGCTGTAGAGAATGTTCTTGCAGAACAGAAACTCACTGTAAGAGTATCATTTGCAATATGTTTAGTCCGGCTTGGGCTTGCAACAGGTGGCCGGCCCCCCTCGCCAGCCCGTGACCTTCTCCCAGGATGGGTCCCGGCCGCTTCGTGGACTCCCAGGGGCTCTTCTCCGCACCGGAGTTTGCCTCGGCCGTGGCATGGTCCGAGGACAACGTGCTGGCCTGCGCCCAGGGCTCCAGCGTGAGCCTGCTGCACCCAGGGGCCCTGGACGGCCCCCGCGCCTACACCTCCCCCATCCAGCCAGGGGAGTGGTCCCTGGACCAGGGGCCGCATGCCCCCCCGGGCACCCTGGCCCAGGACCTGGCGGCCATCCGCGCACAGGCCTATGCCTCGCAATGGCCCGCCCTGGCGCGGAGCCCCAGCGTGCGCAGCGTGGCGTGGTCGGGTAGGGGTCTGGCACCGCAGGGCGGCTGCGCACTCTGCGTCGTCACCTGCGACCACCAGGTGATTTGGAAGGCGTGGCAGGGAGCTGCCAAATGCCTGGCCGGGGCATCGGACTCCCTGCCTGGGACCTTGCGCTGCTGAATACTTCTCCCACTCAACTAATATGCCGTGGGACCACAAAACAAGCACCCCCAACCGCCCCAGGTCAAGGTGTTCTTCCCACCCGTACACCATACCAGCGAGTGGAGTGACTGCAGGGACCTGACCGGCGACATCGTGGAGGCCTCGCAGCGGGTGGCCCCCGACACGGAGCAGGAGTGGCGCCCTCTGCAGGGGGGTCTTGTGGACTCTCAGTCCGCGCCAGGCCAGCGTTCTGCAGCACACGGGGGTGGCCCCCCAGCAGCGGGGAACTCGCCGGGGGCCGGCGACCAGGAGGTCGAGGTGCTGCGCTTGAGGGGCGGGGCTAGGCCCGAGGCCGGCACAGACCCGAGTCCGGACGCAAAACCCGGCGTGCCTGCCGCCAAGCGGCCTCGCAAGGCGCCCCACCCCTCCAGGGCCGCCGGCAGCGACGAGGGCGCGGCCGGCGCCAAATCGCCGGAGAGCAGGACCGCCGGGGCGGCGCAGGGACCCTCTCGAGGCGGCCCACTCGTGCCGCCATCGGCGGCGAGCGCGGCGCTGCTGGCCGCCGCAGCGGCGGCCGCGCCAGGCCTGCCGGCCAAGGAGGCCCGGGCCGCGCTGCTGGACGCGGCCGTGCGCGCTTTCCTCGCCCAGCGCGGCGAGCTCCCTGCGCCCGAGCGGCCGCGGTACCCCACCCCTTCCTCCCACCTCAAGGGCGCCGACCTGGGGCTGCTCAACGGCGTGCTGGCCCGCCTGGCAGACACGCACGGCACGGCGCTGGGCCACGCTGGGCTGACGCGCGCGGCGCTGGCGCTGGAGCTGCGCCGAGCGCTGCGCCTGGCCTGGGACCGGGTCCGGGACCGGCCCAGGAGGGCAGGGGTGGAGGGTGGGCCGGAGGAGGGCGGCGGGGATGGCGGCGGTGTCTCCACCGCTGCCAGCGTGGACGGGAGCCCCCAGGAATCCACTGCACCCCAGGGGGGGGCCCGGTCCAGGGTTCGCGGCGGGCGGGGTTCGCACAGGACTTACGAGGCGGAGGCCTCCTCCTCGTCAGGCGAAGACCCCCCCTCGTCCCCCAGCTCCGATGGAGGGCCCCCCAGCCCCTCCCCCTCCACCAGCAGCCTGGACAGCGAGGCGGGCGGGCCGCGCGGCCGCCGGGCGGCGGCGCGCAGAGGCCGCAGCGCCGGCGCGGCCGGGCGCGGGATTGGCGCCGCCCCGCCCTCACCCGCGACCCCGGGCGACTACGTCGTCCCCGCGGGCTTCACCTGGAGGCAGCTGCCGGCCGTGAATGTGAGCTCCGGCGTCCTGGCGGCGCGCCGCTCCATCATCGTGGCCGCCGTGCGGCGCTTCCTTGCCCTGCGTAAAGAGGTTTGTGGTGGTCTTGGGTGTGGGAGGCCGAGGAGGGTGAAGGGGCCTGAATGGCCAGGATGGGCAAAGATTCATGTGTGGCGACGCTCAGCGCAGGAGGATCCGGCTGCGAACATCCCGCTACCCACTCGCTTGCAACGCGACTTGCTCGGAGAGGCAGGCGGGCCGACCGCATACGTACTCTTCCTGCGCCCACAACCCATGCACCTCCCTTCACCTGCTCCCCTCACTCACACGCAGCTGCCCGCGTCGCAGCGACCCTCCTACGCCTCGAGGCGGGAGCACCTGAGGGCCGCCGACGTGCGGCTCGCCGGCCGAGTCACCGCCGAGTTTGCGACCGCCTTCCCGCGCCTGCTGCAGCAGCTGGGCTACGACGCCGGGCTCTTCGCCTCCGTGTGGCTCAACCGCCTGCGCCGGGGGTGGGACAGAGTGGATGGGACGCTGGAGGCGGGGCTGGGAGTGCTGGAGGGGCCCGTGCCCGGCGGCGGCGCCAAGAGTCCTGCCAGCGAGGGCGCTTGGGCGGGGGAGGGGCCCGCGCTGGCAATGCGCGACGCCGGCTGGGAGTCTGGCAGGAGGGAGCGGGAGGGGACGCCGGGGAGCGGCGCCGACGAGGGCGCGAGCGCCGGCAGCCGCCGCGCGCGGCGGCTGGACCGGGAAGCGTGGGACGACGACCTGTCCGATGTGGGCTGGAGGTGGCAATGTGGAGAGGGATGGTGAGGGGGTTGCATGCAACCGGCCTTTGAGCAGGTGCCTGGTTTGAGGAAGCAAGGGGTCCGTCGATGCCTCTCAGCGGCCCTCCCCCTTGCACCCTTCCCTCCCCTTGCAGCCTGGGATCGGCGCCTCGGGGGGCCATGTCGGCGCGACCCCGGGGCGCAAGGCGGCCAGGGGCGTGTGGTGCGGGCCGGGGGTGTCGGCGGAGGCGTGGCGGGCGGGCGCCGACGCGCGCGCCTGCCTGTGCACGGCCTTCTCCCCCGGGCCGGCTGGGGGCGCCGCCGCTAGCGCCTTCCCGGACACCCCCCGCTTCCACAGCTGGCTGGCCGTGGGCGCGCGCGGCGGCCGGGTGTGGCTCTGGAAAGCGCGGCCGTCGGAGCGTGGGCCGAGCCTGGACGCCACCGCAGCCGCTTGCCCAGGCGAGGCCGGCGCCTCGCTGCGCCTCGTCCGCGGCCTGGCCCTCGGCGCCTCCTGGGTCACGGCACTGGCCTTCCTGCCGCGCGGCGGGGAGGGGGCCCATGGCGCGGCGGGACCCGGGTCATCGCAGACCCTGGCGGCGGGCATGTCATGCGGGCGCGTGAGGCTGCTGACCCTGGACGGCGACGGCGGCCTGCTTGCGCAGCGCTGCGTCCTGCCCCCCGACCTGAGCCCCGTCACCTGCCTGGCCGCGGCGGCCGGCTGCGTCGCGGCCGGCAAGGCCGATGGGAGGCTGCACGTGTGGGCAGCGCCGCTCAGGGAAGCGGTCGCGTGTGGGAGCCAGGGCGCCGTGCAGGGGCCTGGGGACGATGCTGTTGAGGACCTGCGAGCGAGCACAGTGCGCGACACCGTAGGCTGCCCCGCAGCCGCGCATGGGCACCGCCTGGCGACGGGGGTTGCGTGGGGCCATCGAGGGATGGACCCCGGCGCCCTGCCCCTCCTGGTCTCCGCCGGGCTGGGCGGGGAGCTGTGCGCCTGGAGGGTGGAGCGAGGAGTCCACGAGTTGACCCTGGCCCCAGCCCCCGCCCCCTCACCCGCCGGCAGGGCCAAGGATGCGGGGTGGGGCTGCCTGGGGGTGGCCGCTTCGGGCAGCGGACTGCTGATCGCCACGCTGCGTCACGCCCGTCACCCCGCCACAGAGCTCGTCAAGTGAGTGTGTGCGTGTGCGTGTGTGTGTGTGGGTAGGGGGGGGGGGACATTGCACCTAGTTCCGGGGAAAAGAAAGGGGGTGAGACACCTAAGAAGGGTGCTGCCACATGTCCAGGCTCCTGTGCTCGTGTATTGTTGTGGGGGTGAGACCCTGGCAAGACACCTTGGAGGCGATGAAAGGGGTCGCACTCTAGGGCCCCCTCTTGGCGCGGCCGTGCAGCCTCCATCATCCTGCTCACAAAATGCCGCCCTCCTCTTTATCACAACCGCAGGCAGCTCCAGGTGCACCAGAGGGTGGTCCAGTCGGTGGTGCGGCTGTATTGCCTCCCCGACCCCGACCAGCGGGGCCTGCAGCAGGCAGCGCGGGCCTGGGTGGCTCAGGGCGCGGGCGCTGGAGGCGTCACGCCCTTGCCCTCCGCCCTCTGGGACGTGCTGTGCGCGCTGCGTCAGCCCACCGAGACCGATGGCGAGGACCCCCCGGCGCGCCTGCTGAGCTGGCTGTCCGCCGGCGCGGGGGAGGCGCACGGCCAGGGCGCCGCGCTGCGCTGCGCCGTGGCCGCGCTGCGCGTGCTGAGCGGCAGGGAGCCTGGCGCCGGGGCGGCTGCCATGGAGCTGGACCTCCTGCTCAGGCGCGCGCGCGGGACGCTGACGGCCGCGCTGGCGGGCGATGGGAGGGGCGCGACACCCAACTGCCCTGTCGAAGATGAGGCCACTGAGGCGGTGCTGGGCCGGGTGGCGGCGTGGGTGCTGGCCAGCGCTGGCGAGAGCGGAGTCGACGAGGAGCTGCTGGGCCTGGCCGCGGCGGTCCCACAGCGCAACGAGCTCGACGCATCCGCGCCCCTGGCGGGAGGGATGGAGGGGGCCACCACCGCCCTCAAGACGCTCAAGGTCAGATTTTTTGGGGGATGGCGCATGGTCCATGTGTGGGGATGCCCGTCGCATGAGATCCCAGGTTCCACCCTGTAGAAACGCCTGCCTCGCCCCAACCTCGAATTCATTTTTCCATCAAAACAGGACGGGAGCACAGTCGTCGTCGCGCGCTGCCCCCTCACGCTGCTGCCGCTGGAAACCTCCAGGACGTGGCAGTGCTGCGTGTGCGAACGACGCTACGCGCGCTGGGAGGCCTCTGGGTGCGTGCTCTGCGCGGGGGCGCTGGGGCCGCTCCGGGGGAGCCTCTGCCTGAACGTCCCCTGCCTCTAACGCCGGGCAGCGCTGCAGGGGCTGTCGGTTCAGTACTACAGCTCATCCCATGTACTTCCATTTTCCGGATCATATGTGGTGGTGTTGAGTAACACCAGTAATGTGAGGTCAGGGAGTCAGGGTTGGGCGCCGAGCGCGCTCAGGCGGAGGTGAACTTGGTCACGGCCTTGGTGCCCTCGGACACGGCGTGCTTGGCCAGCTCGCCAGGTAGCACCAGCCGCACGGCGGTCTGGATCTCGCGGCTGGTCAAGGTGGGCTTCTTGTTCACGCGGGACAACTGGGCGGCCTGGGTAGCGATCTTGTCGAACTGGTCCACGATGAACGAGTTCAGGATGGTGATGGCCTTGGAGGAAATGCCGGTGTCGGGGTGGACCTGCTTGAGGACCTTGAAGATGTACAGCTTGTAGCTCTCCACGCTCTTCTTGCTGGTCTTCTTCTTGTCGCCCGCGGGCTTCTTCGCCGCGACGGGCTTCTTGGCCGACACGGGCTTCTTGCTGGCGACGGGAGCCATTTTGGAGCAGTTGATGGAAACAGTGGTTATGGATAGTAATTTGATCGGATGCCTCTCCTTCCAATCTTGTATTTCCGAGTGCGGAGTTGTGCCTATCCCCGGAGTTTCTTAATTCTTGGCCTCCCGGACCGGTCTGCACATGTTCCAGAAGAGTTTTATTACAAGATCAAGTTCGCCCAACTCGAGCAAACCACGCTCCAATATCCCGCACAGATAATAATATTATCAACCATGTCTGGACGCGGCAAGGGAAAGACCTCCGGCAACAAGGCTGTGAGCAAGTCCTCCAAGGCGGGGCTGCAGTTCCCCGTGGGGCGTATCGCCCGCTACCTGAAGAACGGCCGCTACGCTGGTGAGTGCATGGCTGTTCGGGAGTCTTTGTTCAGAGTAAATCTGCAAAAATGCCGGTCGACCATCCTCTCGTGACTCTATGCAACTCACAGAGCGAATCGGTGCCGGCGCCCCCGTGTACCTGGCAGCTGTCCTGGAGTATTTGGCAGCCGAGGTGCTCGAGCTGGCCGGCAACGCCGCTCGCGACAACAAGAAGACCCGCATCGTGCCCCGCCACATCCAGCTGGCGGTCCGCAACGACGAGGAGCTGTCCAAGCTGCTCGCTGGCGTGACCATCGCCGAGGGCGGTGTGCTCCCCAATATCCAGTCGGTGCTCCTGCCCAAGAAGACCGGGAAGAAGGACGAGTAGGCGACCTTCTATTCAAGATAAATAACTGGTGTTATTCGACACCACCACCTTGGATAGGAAAATAAGTACCAAGTATACAGCAAGATCAATACGTCATCGTGAAGGGTTGTCACAAGGAAGCAGCAAGATTGCACAGCAGTGTGGTCCTCATGTGGTAGGCACAGCACCTAGGTCACTGCTCGCAGCTTCTTGTTTCAACGGTGCAGCGCCGCCGTCCAGCGCGTGTTCGGAGATCGCGGGAGTGCGGGGGTCAAACTGGTAGTTGGGTGCCAGGAGGCAATCGCCCTCAGGGGGCAGGCGCAGGCCATAGTGTGGTTTGATCTCTGGAAGTGCTTGGGCATTGATCTCCGCGGCAAGCTGTTGCAAGACCTGTGCAATGCATAAGGATTTCCTCAACAATAGTAGTGTGCCGGACACTCAGACTGCTCACGTCATGAACAGCATGCCTTTCCCACGTACCTTCAGCGACGGCGGGTTGGTGAAGGTGTGGGCAGATGCCAGCTCTGTTGCCAAGACTACATGTGGCATGGTCACCTCTGGTCGCGGTCCCAGCGACCTCTCAGCAATGGCCTGTGTAATCGAGAGCGCACAAGGGGACCTTGAGTGACGAACAGGACTCACCAGCAAGGTTGAAAAGGGGCGCACTACGCCTCCCATACATTCAACTGCCCCGTACCTCGGCGTCCTGCAGGCACTCCGCAGTGTACCGGTACTGGAAGTCGAGCAGCTGCTGGATCACACGAGGCTCGTATGCCGTGACACCCTGAAGGGTGGGGGGGAGAAGCTTTTGTCCGTCGGTACTGGTTTGGCCTTCGGAGTCAGGGACCGACCAGAACGCGACCCTCGCTTCACCTCACCATGCTCCGAAGGAGAGATATAATCTTGACGCCATCAGGAGGCAGCTCCTCCGGTGTGCTCATTTCACGCTGGCACTTGAGGTGTTCCTCTTTGCCTACAGGAACTACGGCACAAAAGAATCGACTAAAAAGGATTATAACACGAAATTATCACCCATCATGTGCAACAAAGCATTACCGGAGACGGGGATCGTGCCTTCCTTTAGCTATTGTTGCTTTCCGAGCCAGTCATCGCGCGCGCCCTGCCATGCTGGCAGAACAACCGCGAAGGGGAACAAACAATCTTACTGATGCATCCACCATGGACACAGAAAGACAGTCACAGAGCACTTCATTAATCCCAATCAGCCATCATGGCAATCGGGTAGCAGTTTGACATCCGTGGCTGCGCTCGTCGTGTGCGCTGTGCCCCCGATCACTCCATTCCATCTGCCTGCACAAGACTCATTTTGCGGGTGAATTATTGATCGCACAGGCTGAATATAGTAATCTGCATATCCATCGGATGCCATCAAAGAGCGTCTACAACGAATGGCTCCCGCAGCACCTGGCGGAGCGTGTCGCCACAGGTGCGTGAGGGTTTTGGGGTACGTTGCTACAGCACAGAGATTCCAGCCTGCCCCTGCAGAGCCCCACGCCATAATGCTCCACCTGTACCACCGTGACACAGAGGAACCAGCGCGGTATGCTGCCCTGGTGGCGGCGCTGAAGGCGCAGTGGGAGCGCGACAGCCGCACCCTGCCTGCTGCCGAGGCCCTCCGGGCCACCCAGCCCTACATCGCCCTCTGTAGGACGTGAGTGTCTATGACTTGGAGGAGAGCGCGCTGTGATGGTGCCGACTGTGGGCGGCGCATGGCTGGGGTGAAGTCCCTGAGATGATCTCAGGGCAGTCAGGCTTGATAATCACAGCGATACCTGCTCCGCCGCCCCTCTCTCATGCCCTCCCTCCTCCCTCCCCGACCTGGCAGCCTCTACCATGCACGCGCTGACCTCGACAGCACCTCCCTGCACGACCTGGTACACTGCCAGCTGGAAATGGTGGCGCAGGGTGAGGGCGACCTCATGGTGCAGACGCGGTGGGCACTGCAGCTGCAGCAGCTGCTGCGCACGCACCGCAGCAAGCTGAGCATCGAGGTGCCCTGGCGCCCCTGGTACCTCATGCTGCGCCGCACGGTACTGCGCGACGACCTGGAGTACGAGGGTGGGTCATGGCGACGGGGCGGAGCTGGAACTAGGGGATGGGTCAAGGAGGGGGTTTGAGGCGGGCACGACGCGAGAGACTGAAGCGGTGCTTGGTGGGCTACTTCTGTGTTACGGCATGGAGGCCATACCTGTACTTGTCGACAGAGGTGTTGAGTCCACCAGTCTCGCCCGGCGAGCGACGCGCTTCTGCGCCACTCATGGTCAAGGCTGGGTCCGGTTTGGCATCCATGTTGACCATTGGCGCCCCGACATCCCTGCACCCCCCCAAAACGCATGCCCAAACCCCCCTCCCTCCATTTCGCAGGGGGCGCGCTGTCAGAGGCGCGGCGCCAGACCCTGGCCCGCCTCATCCACCGCCTGCGGCGCCACTTCCCCCGGGGCGCGGCCGCCGAGATCTGGGATGAGTTCAAGACGGCGCTGCGGGACGTGCAGCGTGTCGATGGCTTTGAGGTGAATGTTTTGGGGGAGAGGGAGGGAGGTGGTTGGGAAGGTGAACGAGCACGCCTGCGTTGAGCAGCCGACAGGAAGCACTATCATGGTCGAGAAGCCTTGGACTCGCATGCTGGGCGTGCGCCGAGGCCTCACACCCATCTCCCAGACCATCTGCCCCGCCTCGCTCACCATTGCTTACCCCCCCACACCCACACCCATGCCCCCCCCAGGCCCTGGGCTGGCTGACCATGCTGCTGCCGACCACGGCGCTCAAGGCCGGCGACGGCGACTGGGGCGCCTGGGCGGAGGAGTGGGTCGCTCTCTGGCGCGCCGTGCCCCACTGCTCCTACTGGGACGCGCTGTGGGGCGCGCTCTTCGCGCGCCTAGCCTCCCACGACGCCTTCGGTGGGTGCCGGTCGGGGGGCTGACGGGCGTGTGTGCTCACATGGCGGGGTGCATCCCAAGCCTGGGGGTGGAGGAGGTCCGGCACCAGGCACCAAGTGGCCTGGACCGTTTGGTGTGGTCCGCCCCGAGGGCTTTTCCTGTGCTGCCGGTTCGTCCTTTGCGTGAGGGGCCTGTCTGGGACGCGGCGTCGTCCTCTCATTGCCCCAGGCTCCGACGAGTCCTCTCACCCAGGCACACCACCACCGCCCCCCTCCAGGCCTGATCGACTGGCACCGCCACCTGCCCGAGCTGTATACCCATTTTCTGTGGGCCTTCCGCGTCCCCGTGGGCACCTCCTTCGCCGACCCCCCCTTCTCCTTCGACTGCCCCAAGCACTGTCAGGTGCTGTTCGCCAACGAGCTGGCCTCCCGCAGCGAGTGCGCCGCCCACGCCGCCATCTACATGCTGGGGCACGGTGGCGGCCCCCCCGGCGCCGACTCCGCGCTGGCCCACCTGGAGGGCCTGGTGGGCCTGCTGGAGCAGTACTACCACCCCTCCAACGGCGGGCGCTGGAACTCGGGCCTGGCCCACCTGTTCAAGACGCTGGCCTCCGCCTTCGGCGCGCGGCTGCTGGCCGAGAGCAACGCCGCGCGGCGCACCGCGGAGCGCGCACGTGGCCCGCGCGGCGCCTCCGCCCCGCCCGACGCACCAGCGGGGGACGCGGAGGCGGAGGTGGACCCGGGCGGCGCAGCCGCGGAGGAGGACGCCAGCGTGGACGGCGACGACGCCAGCGAGGCCAGTGAGGCCAGCGACGACGACGTGCCGGCCTCGGGTTCGGACAGTTCGGGCGAGGACGACCTGCTGCCAGTGCCGCCGGGCGGGCGGCGCCGCGCGCCGCTCACCGACGTGGTAGTCGAGCGGGTTGTGGGGGCTTTGCTGAGGCTGGCCTCCAAGGCCCAGTTCAGCAAGGTAGGCTTTACATTTGGTTTGGGGGGGTGGGAGGGGGAAGGGATGGGGGAATGGACCATGTGAGGGAGAAGAGGATCGGGAGGGGGGTAGTGACAGATGGAAGGCCTCCTTCCGGGTGACCAATGCCTGCCTTACGGGAGCTTGGCTGACCGTCCCGAGCATGATTCTCCATGCGATGCTGTGGCTCTCGCACATGGGGCGAGTCCTTGCCCGAAAACCAAGGCACGTCCTGCCCAGCCTGCATGAAACCCCCCCCCCCCACACACACACACACCTCAAAACCCAACAGGACAAGGAGCTTCGGCGCAGCGCCACGCGCATCCTAGGCCTGCTGGCGGAGGTGTCGCCGCGCGCGGTGCTGCCCGGCGTGCACGCGCACTTTGTGGCGGCGCTGGAGACGGTGACCAGCACCAGCGTGCTGGCCAGCGCCATCCAGACGCTGAGCCTCTGCGTGCGCCCGCTGCTCGTCGCCGGGCTGGTCCTGCCTCCCGAGGACGGCGGCGGCGGGGTTGAGGTCGCTGTGGGCATGAACGGGGATGGTGAGGTACCAGGGGGCGCCGACGCCGCGCGGGCCACCGCCGGCGCGTCACTGGCCGCCGCGCTGATGGCCACCGTGCCGGGCATCGACGCCAACGACCCGCCCAAGAGCCTCGCCGTCTTCAGGTTCTATGCCATCGTGCTTTCCTCCCTGGCCCAGCTTCCGGTATGGCGAGGAGGTGTCTGTGTGAGGAGAACAAACCCAGTCTTGACGACAGGGTCTGCTTCATGACCGAGCTGCCGCACTCCTCGACCGCCACTGCCGGCTACATTTGATGCCGGTCTCAAGTCCCCCCCTCAATGCACCCTTTCCAGGAGGTGGCCACCCCAGGCTTCCCGCTGGAGACCGAGATCTGGGTGGAGGAGCTGCTGTCCCACGTCTTTGCCGTCATCTCCAACCTGGACGCGCCTGAGCACAGGGGTGCGTCGGAGGGTGACAGGAGGGAGGGTTGCAGGGGCTGGGTGAGAGCGCTGCTGCTGCGAGGGGCCGGGGCGGCTGTGTGTGAGTGCCTGACTGGTCGTGCGCCGACGATTGATTGCGACATGGAACGCCTGGTAGGGTAGTGCATGCCGCAGTGCGCGATCCATGGTGGTGCACTGGGTGGCCACAGCAACTCCCTTCTCCCATCCATCCACAACCCTCCCAACCACAACCCACCCCTCATCCCAACCCAGACGAGCACCAAGCTGAGGGGCTGGGGTCTGGGGAGGGAGAGGAGACCTTCCTGCTTGACGGCAACTCGATGTTCCGCCCGCTCATGGAGCTGCTCTTCTCCCGCCTGCCCCCTGGCCTGCGCCGGCACGCCATCCAGCGCGTGGGGCGCTTCCTGCTGGAGACCACGCTGAGCTCGGTGATGGTGGAGGCCGCGGTGCTGTGCAACGCCGTGGCCTGGGCCGACCCGCGGCTGGCGGGGGAGCTGGTGCTGGCGCCCACGCTGCATCTGCTGCGCGCCGACGCCGAGGCGGCGGCCGCCGCGCCCCGCCGCGCCGGCGCGCCGCGCCTCTCGAAGGCCCAGGAGGCGGTGCTGGCCTGGCGCATCAACCTTGCCTCCAGCCTGGTCATGTACGCGGGCTGCGCGGCGGTGTCCCAGAAGGTGGAGGTGCTGGGCGCGCTGCGCGCGCTGGCCGCGCTGCCCGCGCTGCCTGTGGCCGAGGCGCTGCAGGGACTGCTCTCCTCCCTGCTCCTGGGCCTGGTGCAGGCCTACCCGCTGGGCGGGTTCGACCCCGCGCCCGCCCCCCGCCGCCTGGCCCTGCCCGGCAGCGGCGTGGAGCTGGAGGCCTTCGTGGAGCTGCGCGGCGGCGGCGGCGAGCGCCCGCGCTGGCACGCGCCGGACGCCGCGGAGCTGGCGCTGGCGCGGGAGGTGCTGGACGCGCACCTGGCCGCGCCGCTGGCGCGCCTGGGCGCCATGCTGGACGCGGGAGACTTTGCGGCGGCCTGCACGGCCGAGGCCGGCGCGCGCGGAGGGCGCGAGGCCCTGCGCGCCCTGCTCTGGCAGCTCCAGGGCTGCCTGGCGGGGGTGTCGGTGTGCCTGGCCCCGCTGGCCGCGGCGCAGGCGGCCGGGGCGGCGGGGGAGGCCGCCTCCCCGGCCGTCAGCCTGGTGGGGGAGCTGGGCGCCGCGGTCGGCTCGGCGCGCGAGCGCGAGGAGGGCGCGGCCGTCGTGCTGCGCGCGCTGCGCGCCGCCGACGCCGCCGATCCGGACACCCTCTACCTCCTGCTCACCGTCGCCGACAGCTTCATGGCGGGTACGGACGGGAGTGTCGTTCCTTGCAAGGGGCGGGATGGGACCGATGCGTCGCCGGGTGGGCGATGGCGTACAGGCAGGCCGCGGCGTCCCCGGGACCATCCCGCGCCACCCATCCCCCCCAACCCCCCCGCAGCCGGGAGCGCGGAGTACTCGGACTCGCTGGACCACGCCTCCTCCTGGGCGGCGGACGAGAAGTGGGTGTCGGAGAAGCCGCTGGCGGGGCGGCTGTACGCCGGCGCGGGGCTGTGGGACCCGCGCCGGCGCTGGTGTCGGCGCCGCCCGCGCTGGCTGGTGGCCGAGAAGACGTTCCTGAGCCTGCGCTGGCGCGCGTCGCAGGCGGCCTACCGCGGCGCCGCCACCGCCGCCGCCCCCGCGCCGACGCTGCGCCAGGTGCCGGCGCCCTGCCTCGACTACGCCGCGCTGCTGGTGCACCACGCGCTGCACGGCTACTCCAGCACCCGCATCCTGGCCATGGAGCGCGCGGAGCGCGC